GGTCAGGCTAGATGATCTGTTCAGGTCCCTCCTGACCCTAGCTACTACGAAACTATGGAACACCCTCACTTTAGGGAGCCCATCAGAGAATTCATGAACACTGCTGACAGAGAGAAAATGAACAGGGGACACTAGGAGAGAATCTGCAACTTACCACAACTCTTTTACATCTTAGTTTAATAATTACCAAGCAAGACTTGCTTGGAGTAGTGGTACAAGATACTGCTGTCAAGTGAGGCTCCATGCTGGGAACCTTGCACTTTTCTTTGAAATGTATTAATTTTGCCAGAACGTATGGAAGAGTTGAGCCTTAACCCGATATATGTGCCATTTTTCCAGCTGGCATTCTGGGCAGCCATATTACTGAAGTGAATTTTCCATACACACATGACCTTTATATGCATTCCTGATGTCTTGTGTCTTCCGAGTTCTGCACGTGTTCTTCCCATTACCCAGTGCTCACCAGAGAGATGCTGCCTGGCTTCCAGATGATTACTGGGGTTCCCGAATAGGCCAGGAATACTATTACATTTTAGAGCTGGTGGGTCAAGGATTAGAGATAACACTTTACTGCACAGCCCACTGTGAGAGTGGTCATTTACAAATCCATCAAGCTGGCAATGCTCAATTCAGAGCCACCAGGCAGTAGGAACAGCCAGAGTGAGGTCCACATTGTAAACACTTCTGGATCATCTATTGACAACTTTATAATCACCCTGTTTTTAAAAGCATCCATAATAGAGCACTCCAATCGTCTCCCTTTGGAATTCACATTGCGTATGACTCACTCAAATGGACACAGGAAGCTTGTGGTAAAATTGGGAAGAGAATCTAGGTCCTCACCAGAAAAGCATCTTTTTTCTCTTCAAGATAAAGTCTCTTTACCATAAAGGAAAGAATTGTCCCTAGTTTGTGGTTATTTACAGCACTGTAAATCAAGCACATGCCATGAAATACCAATAAAAATTGTTTAAAATCACCCTTAAATAGCTAAACTCTCAGCAGCAGCTCATAAAACGAGACTTGGCAGTTCTTAGGTAGTTATGGTTAAATTGACAGTCCTTTAGGGAGTTAAGATAGCCAAAAGCAGTAGTAGTTAAGAATGAAGTGATAGATGGTGGACTTTGTCGGCTGAAGAAACTTTCTAGCAGGCTCTTGAGCCTTGCGCATGTTGATTAGTCTTGGGAAGGGAGAAGGCACACAGCAGCTCATGGCAGATTTTTCCACTGAATACTAACCTACTGGATCATATATTCATCATCCATATGGACCTTGACACCAAAAAGCTAGACAGGAGAATGATCTTGGGCATAAAGAATTATGTTGCCATCTGCACGTAATAGGAGACTTTTCAGGCAGGAAAAAAGATAGAAGGGGAAGCAAGTCCAAAAAGAGGCCAAAAGGGAAAAGTCAAAAACATGAAGAAGGGACCAACAGCGTAAATGAAAAAAAGAACATCCATTAAGAAGCTACATCTCAGCTCCTTTTTAAAAAGTCAGGTGTGTGAGTTATATTAGCCCTGAGCCAGGTTGAACTTCCGTTGCCAATAACCACATCCACTGCCAATAACCCAAGCTGACATAACAGAAGCATTAGGGAGGGCTGGGATTTTTTCCCCTGTAGCATTAGGCATTCACATCTCTTTTCCACTTATTTTTCAAAATGTATTGAGTATTGTAGCCAACCTCCTCTCTCATTGTTAAGCAAGATGAGTTACAAGATGGAGCTCAATCCAGAGCCCTAGGCTTTAAGGAGCTTCAGACTTTGTCCCGAGGCCTGGATCTGAATTTTGCAATAGTCTCTTACCCTGTTGCCAAACACTTCTAAACTCTGGCAAATCTGGGCCCACATTTTTGCAGCATGATCCTGACTTTAGTTTCTGTGCAGTATATCACAGCAATGCAGCAGGGTAACTAACACCTTGCCCCCACTCTCCCATCTACCTATAGTGCCCTGGCACTATAAGGCCAGAGCACCTCAGTCTTTAGGGCATGTATCTTTGCAATGGCCCACCGAGGTAGGGAAGCAGTATTATTCCTCTTTTACCTCTGAATATCTAGCCTATGTCACTTGATCAAGGTCACAAAGAATGCTTTCCAGCATAGTGGGAACAGAACCTGTATCTTCAATGACCCAGATTAGAGCTCTACCCACCAAACTATCCTTTCTCTGCTGCAAACTCTCTGGATATGCTTCCAAAATGCAGAATGCCAGAAAGCACTGGGAGCAATCAGGGTCTTCCAGTCGACTGAATGATTACATTGATTTTTGTGATTTTAACCCCAGCCTGAGCATTAGGTTGTTCAGGAAAACCTCCAGTGTTCAACTCACAGGATTTTTTTCATTTGTTGTACATGGGGAATGGAGAGTACAGTGACAGCTGAACCCTAATTCATGTACATCATCTCTTATTCACACAAGTATTTCATTGAACAACAGAAGTATGTAAGTCCTTGATCATTCCAGCTGCAGAGCATAACTGAGCACCTAGGAACATAACTCAGCCCATCCCTACCTAAATCCATTACAGGATGAAGACCTGAGTTCTTCAGTGCCAGCAGATAGGTATATTATATGTGGCCTCTTTAAGTGATCTAGACAAGAAGTCCTATATGTATAGGCAATGTCTTTCCAAGCACTTGGACCTGCTTTCTCAGCAGGATCCAGTCTTGTTCCCCATATCCTTCAATGCAGTGGCAGAGCCATAGCCCATTTCAATCAGTAGCTCAAACCTGGCAAAGAGCCCATTTTCACTTGGGATTCCCCGAGCAACTCCATACAGCCATTCACTAACCATGACACTGAGTGATAGGCACCTGTTTCCTAACTCTCTCTGCTAATCACAGACTGTTTCCCATTCTACAAATGTGATATGAAAATAGAGAGGTTATGACATTCATATGATGTCTAAAGGCAGAGAAATAAACATTTATTTCAAAACCAGCAAGATGTGTTTGCATTTATTTCTTTTATTAAAATGGTTACATATGTCAAAACAAAGAAGAGCAATAGTAATAATGTTTGTTTTTCTTACATCATAAATAATTGTCTCCGTTAGCTGTTGGCTCAGCATTGATCATGATTCTTGTTATTTAAAAACACTCATTATTAGCATTTGTGTTTTCAGAAAACATTAAAAGCAGCAATAGAGAAAATAAATTAAAGAGAATTGTAACAAAATGATGCCAAGTATTTGTTAAATGTAAAACCAACTTGATGTGTTTTACAGGTTATTCTTTGTGCTTTGATCATTTAAAAAAAAGAGGCATGAACAAGTATTTCTACAATGGTTTACTTCTCCAGTTTTATCCCAGAGAAGTCACTGATAATCTTTTAACATGAAAAATATTGTTGTCATTTATTCAAATAAAAACACTGAGGACATATCTAACGGAAAAATTTGACAAGACAATTTATTGTCACAAAATATTTAATACCAGAATAACTTATAATAGTATGAACAAGAGTGAAGTATTTACTCTCCATTCTTAGGTACAAACTCACATTATTATGACAAAATCCAGTAAACTCAGTTATCAAAAATCGTTGTCATGGAATTGTAGACACATAATGATGCAAGTCAATAAAAAAGTATACTTCAACTGTTCATACAGTCATGACATACATTTCCAGCTTGGCACTTTATGTCAATGCAAATCAGCAATTTAGAAAACAAAGTAAAAATATATATGTACAAAATATTTTCATATCAAATCATTTTCATTGTACACTAAATAAAACCCAAAATATGTTATGTTACATCAAGGAGTATCCTAAGAAGTCACATCAAGGTTGATGTTTGCTATGTATCTTGACTAATGCAACTGGAATAGACTATACTTACAAATTATTTCTACCAATTCTGCAGCCACTGAAGCGTAAGGGAGTTTTATCACTGACTTCAAGTGAAGCAGGATCAAAGTCATATCTAGATTCATTATTGGCTCACCAAATAGGCTAGCAGTAAAAAATGAATAGGTTACCCACAGGCAAAAAAAACCATCTGAACCTTCATAACAATTAGTTCTTTTCCAGTTTTCTGTAACTGATTCAGTATAAATTATATTTGGTTTTACCACTGTTTATTCAAGCACTGTAAACCTCATTAGAATATTGTTATATGATTCAAGAAAAACTCGTACACCAAAAAATAAATCTGGTTTTACATTAATTATTTCACTCAGTATCAGTCAAGTTTAGAAACTCTGAATGTTATTTTTAACGCATGGTTTAGTATCCACTTAAAAACCTCTCATAAGTAAATGCCCAAATTTTTCAGAGTGTCGTGTTCCATATGGTTCTAATTTGAGTTTTAACTTTGAGTATATACAGTTTTCATTATGTCTTTTTTCTCATTGCAATGTGAATTGTCAATCAACTCTCTTCATTTGATACAATATGTACAAAATAAAAGGATTTTGGACATAGTCAAGCTATAACAATTTCTATCATAGAATCTTATTGAGCTCCAATACAAATAAAAATTGCATGATAGATTTAGTTTGGTACAAAGAGAAATCAGTTTTCATTACTCCTATAATAAATTCAGTAAGTCAACAGAAAAAATTTAGAAGTATGAAATCCAATTTAAATTTGCACAGGGTCTTGCTGCAGCCTTTTAACTATAGATTTTTAAAATGAATGCAATGGTGAATTGTAGGTGTACTTTTAAATTGATGTAAATGATCAATATATTTCCCAAATCTATGTGGGTTCTACAGTATTGCACTATTCAAAGTCATGATTTTGGTATTCAAACACATTGCAGATTCAGGTAAGAAACATGCATAACAACCTTATTGTCACTTTGAAAAAACTTACTGTACAACTTTTATAATACTGTGATTTTTTTCAAAGATGTAACATTTTCATTAAGACTTACCAGTCACCAATTTGTATAAGTCAAATATGCAGCAATTCTCAAGGGCTTCCAGCAGTAATGTGTTTAGCCCTAGACTGCCAAGCCCACTTGGAATAATATACAAAGATTAAGTATTATGGCAATGTCATTTTGAGGCATAATTGTGTTGTACTATGCCCACGTTATAGCTTATTTTTTAAAGCAAGGCACTTATTATTATAGCAATGCAGTGATGCACACTTGATTAACATAAAATAAGTTAATATTTTGATAAAAACTGATTTTTTATAATTTACATGCCTTTTATAGAAGCAATTGAACATTTTATTTAATACAATGAAAAAGTCTGAGTCTGAGGGAGCTTTTTTTTTCCACTGACCATAAAAGGAACCTATTTTCAGTATTTGCTTTGCATCTGTGGGTCTGATTTTACTGAAAACCAATGCTGTTAGGAATGTCCATTTGGCTCAAAAAGGTACCCCCACTCTCTCAGAATTGTTGAACTAATGGCACTTTAACAGTCTTTACTTCTGATATATGTGATGACTTTTGAATGATGCAGCTGGTAGTTCCCTGTAGTTTATCCTTTCCTTGCGCGAGGTTTGTTAGAGCCATAGCCGCATTGATTTCCTTCCAGTATGTTTCATCTTTGTTTGTTCCTTTTCTGTTAGCTGCGCTAGATTCAAGCAACAACAAATATTTACATGGCTTACATATATACAATAGGGCAAACTGTACTGAAGAATTCAAGTGGCAAATGTAGCCCCTTACTCACCTTTCACACTTGCTAGGTCCATTGTCCAAAGTTTCTGAAAACAGAAAAAAAAATTATTGTTTTTGTTCATTTTGTTCATAATATTTCTTAAAATGTCCCCCAACCTAACATGAAATTGGTTAATGGAGAGATAAGCTGGCTTCTGAAATCAACATAAGGTTTCTTTGAAAATAGCTGGACATATGACCATAAGAAACATGAAAGCTGAGTCATAGTCTTATAGGCTAGGGACAGACATTAAAAAAGCCTGAGCCTGAACTAATTCAGTCTTTGCAGGGTAGTCTAACCTGGCTAGGCTGAACCAGTTTGTAAGTATTCATATATCCCCTCTGGACTGAAGAAATGCAGCCACATGCCTGCAGTAGCTCAGGCTAGAAGCTGGGGGATCCTAGAGCAGCCTACCCTTCTCTTTCATAGTTTCATAGTTTCAGGGTCGGAAGGGACCTAATAGATCTTCTAGCCCGACCCCCCGCCAGGGCGGGAGAACAACCCAAAAACACAAACAAAACCACTCACCCTAAAAACAAAAACGGGACTCAAATGAGTCCAGCCAGGTAAGTATCCAGCCTCCTCTTAAAGATCCCCAGGGTAGGGGCCAGCACCACCTCCCTTGGAAGTTGGTTCCAGCTCCTAGCCGCCCTGACTGTGAAGTAGTTTTTTCGGATGTCCAATCTGTACCTCCTCTCCATCAACTTGTGCCCATTATTCCTTGTTATGCCAGCAGGGGCTAGGGGAAACAGCGTCTCCCCCAAACCCTTCTGGTTCCCCCTAGTGAGTTTATAGACGGTCACCAGGTCCCCCCTCAGCCTTCTCTTGTGGAGGCTGAATAGGTTCAAGTCCCGCAGTCTCTCACTGTAGGGTCTGCCCTGTTGTCCCCGGATCATGCGGGTGGCCCTCCTCTGGACCCTCTCCATGTTGTCCACATCCCTCCTGAAATGGGGCGCACAGAACTGGACACAATACTCCAGCTGCGGCCTGACCAGCGTCGCATAGAGGGGGAGGATCACCTCCCTGGCTCTACTCGAGATGCACCTGTGGATGCACGACAAGGTCCGGTTAGCCCTCTGCCCAATCGCTGCTCCTGACCAGTGACGGAGCCAGCAGGGAATTACACAGCATTTACTTGCACAGCAGGGAGTTACAGTGTTTATCAGCCCATCAGGAAAACAAAAGCCTCTCTCATTAGTTGAAGCTCTTCTTTTAGCTCCAAAAAGTCCCAAGCAGACACTGTCTTGTCTGCCTTACACAGACACCTCTCAACATTAGCTAGCATACCATATGCTGGCTACAGTCTGTGTTGTGGCAGAGGGGAGGAGGGGCAGGAGGAAGCCAAGAAACACTGCTTTGCCTGCCGTCTCTGCTGGAGCTCCAGCCAGGGAGTACAGGGGCGAAGCTAGCCCTGCTGTGAAGCAGAGAGCCCTGTCCAGGGCTGCAAAGCATTTGAGATGCTGGGGGACTCTAGTTTACATTAAACCAGGAAGAGGTCTGGGACAGACATTGCATAAACCAGTTTGACCCAAATCAGTTAAGTCTGATACTAAATTCAACCAGGTTTATCTCAAACCAATTTCAGCCATCCCAGCATGAAGGAACAAGTTAGATATAAAAATGAATTAACCTACCATAGTGCTAGGGACAGACATTCAAAAAGCCTGGGCCTAAATTGATTCAATCTTTGCAGTTTAATCTAACCTGGCTAGGCTAAACCAGTTTGTAACTGTTCAGACATCCCCCTTGGACTGAAAAAATGCAGGCACATGCCTGTAGTGGCTCAGGGCAGAAGCTGGGGTGGTGCTAGAGCAGCCCTCCCTTCACTTCCACAGTGCTGGCCTGAGGGTGTGTGGCCAGGCGCTGGCAGGATGCTCTGATTAGGGAGGGTTCCCCCACCCTTGACTAGCCCAGCAGGGAATTGATAACACCATGTTTATCTCCCTTAACTCAGTGTTTATCACCCCATTAAAAAAAACAACAGAACGACATTACCTGTTAATTCTGCCTTTGCCCCATCTGCCACAGCATGGACCATAGTCAGCATGTGGTCTGCTAGCTAATGCTGAGAGATGTCTATGTAAGGCTGAAGAGATGGCAGAATCCCTGCTTAGAGAGGAATGGTGGGGAGCAGAAGCCAGGCAGATGCCTGCAGTCTCTGCCAGAGCTGCAGCCAGGGAACAGAGGGGAGGGCCCAGCCCTGCTGTGGAGCAGAGAGCCCAGCCCAGCCCAGAAAGCATGCTGGGATGCTGGGGGAGTCTGATTTAACTTAAACAAGCAAGGGATCTGGGACAGACATTGCATAAACTGGTTTGAGCCATATCAGTTAAGTGTGATATTCAACCAGGTTGAAGTCTGAGGTTCAAACTGGTTGAAGTCTACATTCAACCAGTTTTATCCCAAACCAGTTTCAGTCATTTTCAAACTGGTTTATGTGCACTGAAGATCTGTTCTGTTACATGTTTAAACCAGTTTCTGATCTCTTAAACTGGTTTATGTATAATATCTGTCACTAGAATAAAAGGCAGCCACTTCCATCATGACAATCAATACATTTAACAATTCATCTTAGCAACACTGCACTTCACTTCAAGGAGGATAATGAATAATGCAGTATCCAAGCAGACACTAAAACATGGTGATGGGCAGAAAACTTGATATGGTGAGATGTACTGAATGACCCAGGTTGTCACCTTTACCCTTTATCTGCCTGTATATTTTTTCTTTTGTTTAATTCCACTCAATGAAGGAAGCTGTTGCTCACAAAAGCTTCTCTCTGAATTTCACTCAATAGTCACAGATTTTAAAAGGGACAGAGAGCACCATCTGTGAAAAAAATAACTATATTGGTAGGAGCTGAAGTAGAAATGGAGAAAAATAAAACAATGCCACTTCCAGAGAAGCCCTGAGATGCATACATAGCCACTAGAATATATGTAAGCTTTTTTTCTTTTGGAAAACATTCCTGTGAACAAAAAATTGTATGAATGTTTGAGGAAGGCAGGCTTCAGCGGTAATTCACATTTGAATTCCAATGTTTATTTAAATGAGTATCTGCAAATACTTTTCAGCAGTATTTAGGCAGATCTAAATGTAAGTGATTTTCCCAAAGTCATATAGGCCAGGTACAGACGTTACACTTTTACCAGTATAAGCGATTGGAAACTGGTTTATACCCATAACAGAAGTTTGGTACACAAAACTGGTCTATACCTATAACAAAACAGAAGTTTGGTGTGCACAGACTGGTTTAAAAAGGGTGGAACCTGGTCCAAGGGTCCTTGCCAAACGGCGAACGTGTGTTCTGTTTGCTACTGATCTAAACGATGCTGCTTACACAAAACCACATAACTTAGATTGATTCCATATCAGACTTTTTGAATGTCTGTACCTAGCCACAGAATATGTGGCAAAAAAGAATTCAAAAGACTTTGTTCTTCTATACTTACCTTTACAAAATACTCATCTTTTTTATTCTGTACCAGAAACAGCTCTTTAATTGTCAGCTTTTGTTTGTAAAAACAAAACAAATGGATTTTTTCAAATACTATCCTCTAAAAACTGAACTATAACAGAGCTACTACTGATTATATTGCAAAGCTTTTGCTAGTAATTGCTAGAAGAGCATGTTTGTTTAATGAATTTTGAAAACCTTTAATATCAAGTTTAAAGGCTCTTTTTGCTGCCAAAATTCCTTTACTGCTACCCTAAACTTAAATTGAACCTTTTTTTTTGGTCTTCTAGGATCCAAAAGTTTTTCAGTGTTTTACAACAGTAGGAACTGAGTCCCACAAGTCGGTGAAGAAGGCAAGGATTTTTATTCAGTGTACAGCAGGAGATAATCTGGCACAGAGAAGTACAAGACCCTGTTCCATGGAGTGATGAGCGCTTATTGTGTTAATGAGCTAATAATGACCATCATTACCCCTTGGTTTCATGGGAGGTTAAGGTGCTCAATTCCTTTAAGCACTGCTCAGCAGTTTGCACGAGTAAACTCTAAAATGATTTGATCAAATTAAAAAAGAGATGCTACTTTTTGCTTATTTTTCACCTCTCAAGCTTTGCCCTCCTCTTTCCTTCTGACCACTGAAAATAAAACCTTTCAATGCTCCACGGGCGTGTCTACACATTCATTAAGGTGCTGTAATTACGGGTACTAAATTTAATGCGCTGTAATTGGTGTTACTGCACATTAGCACAGATAAACACTTATTAAGTGGTGTTACTACTCATTAGGTTAAATCTACTGAGCATTAGCATGGTTTCTGCATATTAGCATCTTGTGTAGGTGCACCCCATGTGTCCCAGTATCAGCCCCGCAGCATAGATTCATAGATGTTAGGGTTGGAAGGGACCTCAATAGATCATCGAGTCCGACCCCCTGCATAGGCAGGAAAGGGTGCTGGGTTTAGTTTATTTTAACTATGAATGCAACATATTGGTGAGAGCCACTTGTGAATGTAAATAAATCAAGGAATGCTGAACAAGGAGAGGAGCATCTCAAATGCAGAAAGCCAGAAGATGCAATGTAATAATCCAGACCAGACACTGGTGGCCTTTTTGGGAAGCCAGTGTCCTTCTTATTTAAGTGGAAGGAATAGCCACAGGTCAGTTCTCAGTATTATCATTGCAAATCATATTTGCAAGAAACGATACAATAAGGCAGAATACTGAACCCCAATGACTCTAGCCCAAGAGGTCTGGAATAATGGCTCAGCTGAAGGGGCGGGGGAGGGAGAGGGAAGAGAGAAGCAGTAGCAATTAACTCCACCACCACTTCCCCACGGCCAAATGTCCATGGCCTGTGGGCCAGATGACATTGCTGTGCACATAGGATCCTGCCAGTGCATGGGGAACTGAGGCCAAGATGGCAGGGCTCAATCTGGCCCAAGCAGGGCCTCGGGCTGGGCCTGGAGCCAGAGCAGTGTGTCATGTCCAGAGTGAGCCTGGGGCCATGGCCATGATATCATGTACAGGGCCAGGGCCCAATCCAGTGTGTGCCAGCTCAGCCCACGGACTTGATCTAGCCCATGGACCCAGACCATA